TTTTTTATTACTATTGCTTTAGAACTGTTCATATCTTTGAATCTGACCCCCTTATTGGTATTTCCATTGCATATATTGGGTTTCGCGAATTTTTTTTAAATAATTTGTTTGTCGGAGTTTGATTTTAATAATTTTTAAGGTTCTGTCCTCGCGTTATATTTTGCAAAACCTCTTTTTTATTATTCTAAACATATTTGGGATGTTTTGAAGCCGTAATGACTATGTTTAATACTTTCATCTTAAGATTAGGACGAGAAAATTCCAAATATTAAATGAAATACTGATAGAGAATGTATTGAATAGAGCAACCGTCACATATACCATTTGGTATGATGTTGTCCACAATTGTAGCTCGTGTACACCTAAGTCTGTTTTTACACGGTCTTTTTGTACACGGTTTGATATAACACGGTTTGAAAATTGAATATTTTTAATTTTTTACACGATTTTATTCCATTTAGCACGATTTGAAATTTTATGTACTTAATTTTTTTTTTTTGTCATATTTATTTTTTGTGAAGTATGTTTATATCACAAAAAAGTATTTATGAAGGAAAAAAGTCTGAAACCAGGGATAGTATCGATAGTTTGCGAACACTAGCTTAAAGATTTAAGTGAATTCCCCTTTAGTGCGTACAAACAATTTTTACTGGTCAAAGCAAATGTGAATAGCACTAATTTAGGGGAATTCTCTTTTTTAAACGGTTTCTTCTGGAACCAATCTACCGTGTAAAAACAGACTTATGTGTATATGGAACAGAAGACATAATCTCCTCCTTGAACCATTTACATTAAATAAGACGAAAATACATTTGGGAGGTATATCTAAATATAACCCGATTTTTGCAATTTTTCCTCTATCTGACAAATACTGGGAGTTTGGTGCGCCATTTTATTAAAATCGGAAAAAAAAAACTATGTATATGGGAGCCATATCTTAATCTGAACCGATTTCATCAAAACTTCACAAAGATTAAACGGGACCTAATTCAGTACGATGTGCAAAATTTTATTTCAATCGGACAATCCTTGGGAGTTTGGTGCGTCATTTACATAAAATCGGGCCAAACTATATATGGGAGCTTTATCTAAATCTGAACCGATTTCAACAAAACTTTACATACATTAAACTGGATCTAATTCAGTAGGCAGTGCACAATTTTGTCTCAACGGGACAATCTTTATATGGGAACTATATCTAAATCTGAACCAATTTTCTCAGTCTATTTTCGCTGGCTGTAGTTTCGATGTGTCTGAAATTTGACATACAGTGTTTTTGAAATACATATATATGAAAATTAACAATATAGGTCCATGTTTTGAGATATCCCCCATATAAGGGTAACCCTTCATTGCCAGTATATCGAAAGTTTTTAATTGAAGTGGCTATAAATGGGCATATCGTAAAGCGTTTTTACAGGAATTATTCAATTAAGGTTAATTTTTTAAAATAGCCCCCATACAAATTTTCCGTTTAATTTCCAACAATATTTCTTAGAGTAGGAACAATCTACTTAATGTAGAAATTAGCCCCGGCCCCGACCGATATAGGGTATTTTTAATGCATACCACGTGGTAGTGGATGTGAAATGTTCGAACCGTCAAAACTTATCGACGTTTTTATTGTTTTTTCATAAAACTGAAAAGGTGTAGAGTATCTTACTGTCAAAAACTCCCACTTTCTAATATATGTTTAAGTAATTTTTATTTTTATTTCATTTGTTTTGAATTTTAAATATTTGATTTGTCTTCTTCTAATTTGATGTGTCAACAACAATTAATCTATCAAAGTATTGGGGGTTTTTTATTTTGTCTCGAAGAATTGCATTGTTTTCATTTCTTTAATTGTCAATTGTGTCAAAGTATGGACAATCTTTTGTTATTTGTTGTTATTATTTTTTTTTCTTCTAAGAAATGTTCCAACAATGCAAAACAAATCAATCAATTGTTGCGTTTAGAATTTTAATTTGCCATCGATGAGTCATTCTGAGCTGTTCGAATGCATTTCTTCGCTGTGAGAGTTCGTTTTATTTGTTGTTGTTGTTTGCGTTTCTTATTTTTGCAATAAAATAAATACTTAATGAAATGATTTATTTATTAGACGAAATGTCTCATGCCAAAGAAAAATAAATTTAAATTCAAAGTTTTTTTTTTAATGGCAATGGTTGATGGTTGTCGTAGAAAGGAGGAAGGAATAAAATGTGTTGGTAATTTTAATTGAAACATATGTGGATATATAATTTTTTATTGCATTTGCGTTCCAAGACAAACCACATGTTTTATTTTATAACTTGCAACACTTTGTGGGGATTTTCCAAACAAAAATGATTATAGTTATTGCGTTGTAGTCCTATACACATATCTCCTTTTGGAATATTGCATATGTTTGTAATTATTAAGAATTGACCATTCGCATATTAACTCTGCAACCAAATTCGTTGCAATTTATTTTCCGAACTATTTAATGATAACTGAATTAAATTAACCAAAAATGCCCAGTCATTGCCTGTGCAGCATCCCAACCAAAAAGTCAACGACTTTATGATAACCTCACCCTCTAGTAATTAATGTCATTTAGCAGTAATCATAATATAAGCAAATTTATTAACACCTTTATTTATATTATTTTTTTGCGGTAGGTATAAGTTATTGTCACCGCACAAAGCAATATATATTTAATAAGTTATTAATATTTATAGACATAACGAGCAGAGATGTAGCCCAGATGACGAGTTATTCACCTGCTATAACGAGATACATCTAGCTACGTTTCTGTTCGTTTTTTGAGGTTTTTGAACTTAGCCATGTGGCGATTTAAAATAAAAATATCATATTCTTGTCGCGCGATGTCATCATAAATATAAACATAAATAGTGTTGACAGTTATTAGGTGCTAAAATTTCCAATAGCTCTCAAATTAAAGGGCGTGCAATTCGACGAAAGCTATAATTTTTCTTTATTTTTTCAAACATCATAATGAGAATGTTCAACAACTACTATTATTTACACGATGAACAATGACAACAACAACGACAAGTAACACAACATTTATAGAGTGTTGACATATTAATTAGATGTTAACAACATTGCAATTTTATGTATGTTTTTTATAGTTCTCAGGGTTCGCGTTGTTGTAAGATTGTGGGGTATTATTAGTGAATACCACAAATTGTCAATATACAGAGATTCATATGAAAATCGATTACGAATTTTTGAAAATTAATAGAGATGAGCAGGGGGTAAATACCCAAAGGGTAAATACCCGCTAAATTGGGTAAATACCCGGTTAATTTGGGTAAATACCCGGTTAATTTGGTAAATACCCAATTGTGGGTATTTACTATATTGAATCGGTAATACAACATCTTACACCTTAAAAATGTTATCAAATCGATTTAGAATGGATAGTTTTACGATACTTTAAATATGTGAGTAAATACTTAGTTAAATACCCGAGTTTTTACCCAAAAATTGGGTATAAACTCATTAACTGCGGAACCACTTGACATAGGCGGCCAAAATTTTGCATACATGTTTTTAATGTCAAAGCAAATATAGAAATCCAAACATACATTAAGTTTTTGTGTTATGACACATTTTACAACCACATTGTCTGTAATTTGGCACAGAGTGTTCTTTTACGGTACCAAATGTTCACGCAAAAATTTATGTATGTACCGAAAAAGAACACTCTGTGCCAAATTACAGCCAATTTGGTTGTAAAATGTGTATAATAGACAAAAATAGCTTAAATCGGGAGATACGGTTATATGAGGGCTATATCAAAACTTGGACCCAGGGATTTCTATGTTTGCTTTGACATTAAAAACATGTATGCAAGCAAATTTTGGCCGCCTATGTCAAGTGGTTCCGCAGTTAATGAGTTTATACCCAATTTTTGGGTAAAAGAACGTATTTTTCAAGTATTTACCCACGTTTTTAAAGTATCGTAAAACTATCCATTTTAAATCGACTTGATAACAGAAACCCGGAAATAGGCTGTAAGATGTTGTATTACCGATTCAATATAGTAAATACCCAAATAAATCCCGCAAATGGGTATTTACCCGCAAATGGGTATTTTCCCGGTAAATACCATCTCTAAAAATGAAGGATACAAAAGTAGCCTGTAATAGTCAAACAAAGATGTAACGCTTTGTTCTCATCAACTTTAGGGTTACCAGAAAGAAAATAATCGTTACACCATAACTCAAAAACTTAATGTATGTTAAATTTGACCTTCTGGGCTCCTTATATACTTGTCAATGACTTTCATCCGCATAAGAAATTTTGCACAACATGAAAAGGTATTCCTAAAAACATACACACTATATTTAAAACTAATCCTCGGAAATTCTCGCTTATAAAAAACTTTACTTTAAATTCCACGATTCCTATCCACAACATCCTTGAACCATTGCATTCATAACCAGTAAGAAAAGTTCAAAACATTGGGTACATACAAGAGATGCTCATATGTAAAATATATTTTGGATAGAATAGACAAATATGCTATTTGTAGGATCATTGGAATGGAATTGAACGAAATTACATTATTATAAATCGGACGAAAATATATATGGGAGCTATATCTAAATCAATCTAGGCCTTCAAACGGCCAATGAAACCGTCCGGAGATTTTGGTGGCCATTGTGCGCTGGAAATGAAGCGAGGAACCTCATTTTGTAACTATACCCAAGGCTTCAATACACCCTCCAGAATATTTTCGCGACAATATTCGGTATTAATTCTGATGTCGCCGTCGATTAATACGAGCGGAGAGCGAACATCGGCTGTTATGGCGGTCCACACCATTACCATGGCCGGCGCTTGATTTCTGGTGGCCACCCGAAGGTGCACATTTTCCGCTGACTTCTTTGGCAAGTAAATACGATCATTTTGTTTGTTTACAAACTGCTGGATAACGAATGGTTTCTCATCGGAGAGTTATTTTGCTTTCTGTTGCGGTGTAAGTTCATGCACTTTTTGGAATTTCAATGCACTTTTTGCCGAATGGAAAATTGCGATATGTTCAGCTCACGAGCCATTTTTCGGCCACTGCAACGCGGGTTTCGATCAAGACGATTCTTTACTTTTTGAACCATTTCGGCTGATGTTGCTGCATTCTTTCGTCCACTTCCTTGACTACGCTACCGGTATCACGGTAACGAGCGTTGGTACGAGACTCAAACGATTTATTCCCATTTAAAGGCTTCAGTGATCTAACGATAGCCACATGTGGTTTTCCAGCCAAATACAACGAAATCACGCTTGAATTCCATCACGAATAACTTTTTCTGGAAAATTCTCACCAAAATGCTTTTGTACGCTTGTAAATAATATAATGAGCTGTCACTGGAATAATTTTAACATCTGTCGGACGAGTGGCTTAGAAATGATAGACGTCTGAAGTTGGTTGCAGTTTGGTTCAAATCCGATAGTCCGTTTACATGGCATAATAAAATTAATTTTTGGCACAATGTTTGTGGCGGAGGTGCCAGAAGGTGTGGACCGATATTCCCCATCTTCGACCTTGTACTAAATTTGTAAGAAATATTAAAATAGGCAAAGTTTGGAGAAAATCGGTCGTTTCCTTCGAGAGTTATCATGCGGAGGGACAGACATTTGCAAATCGGCTCCAAATTCTCTGAAACGGATAGGGTCCAATGAAACAAAGGGTATATGGGAAATTACAAAAATCTTTTAAATTCCTTGAAGCTGAGGTTTGCAAGGTTATAACTCGCGAAATATGAACATATTGCATATAATTTAAATTCAATTCTATAAAATGAAGTGTTCTTATCAAAATCTTGAAATTTTGGTAATAAATAATAAGTTGCGTGGAAGCTGTGATGGTGGTAATGTAAAAAAATGGGTAAAAATGTGTTGAAGCCAACGAGTTTTTTTGTGTTCGTTCCCGATTTGTGGCTAAACTACACAACGCACACACATGTGATCAGTGACTAAGTTGCAGAATACCCCATGGACAATATGGTTCTAATGTATGATTTTTCGATATAATCACTGCAACCACCCAAAATGGATGCTGACATTTTGAAGCCGGAATTTCGGTGTTTTTTGAATTTTTCTTATAATTAGGATGCGCATCCAGACAATAGATTAAACTAATTATAGGATCGTAGAACTCGTGATTCTGCTTCGTTTAGTGTATATCTCATGAATGTGCCCACTGTAGCTTCTTTGCAATTGGGTTCCAAAGACGAAAATTTAGTGCGTAAATTTTTATAAAAAACATATTTTTTTAGTCTAAAATTAAGAAAGTCCATTCAAATTCCGTGGAACCCCGCGTGATTTTAGTTTTTTTACGTGCCGGATCTAATGAGCCCATCCATGTTCAATTCCGCCCATTAAAACGGCGGATATAGGTACCTTGAATGTGGGAAAAACTGCAAAAACTTATTTTGACAAATTCGCGTAAATAATCGCGGTTTTCTTCGAATTAATTTTACATGCATTTATGCTTGTATTGTCAAATTCGCGAATCTGCGTGGAAATAGGTCAAAAATACATCGATACGCGAATAATATGCATATTTTATCCAAAATTGATTGTGGAGGCACATCCGCGGTTCTTAACCGATCCTTTTAAAATAGGTGTCCTTTTGCGTATTTTCATAGGAGATTACTAAAATCGGATGCGCATAAAAATCGTATGCACGTTGCGTGATTTTTAGCCATTTTTAGGGTTTTTGCATAGTAAAGTGCATCGAGTGGCACACTTTGACCGCTAAATTAAACATCGAAAAATTAATAATTATTGAAAGACATTGATTCGGTTTATACGAAAATCGCATGCGCATCAACTGATTTCAACTAATTCGCGAATTGCAAGCTTTTCAATATTGATAATTTTTATGTATTGTAAGTGCAATATATTTAGCCATTAATGACGTCGAAACTCTTATCAGATGAATCTGCCGATATTTAACAATCATCTAAAAGAATTTGCAAAAGAAAGCGTCGTATATTTTAGAAGATTAAGGCAAAACCGTATCCTCTTAAACATACTAAAAAATCGAAAATTCCAAAAAACATTTGTTTTAATTCAAAAATTAATTTATTTTATTTTCCGATATCTTCATGTTTCTATTTGTTTTTCGCGACTATTAAACCGTATTTCAGTGTGATTTGACTAGTATGCAAAGAAAACAATGGTGTTTAAGCATTTGTGAAGAAATTCGCGAATTACAACGAATAGGAATTCATTTAATTTATATTTGAAATACAAGATTTAAAACCGCTATAACTTTTGTGCGCAGCATCCGAATTTGTGAATGCGAACATATTTCGAATCAGCATATTTTTCTTAACCTATGTACCAAAAATCAGGAATGTGCTCGCAAAAAAATTTTTCAAATTTTTTTTAATGGAATTTTAAAAGAATTTTGTAATTTCCCATATACCCTCAAAAAATACTAAAACACAGGTATTTGAAAACGGGTATTTAGAAGCGCATGGTCGACTTTTTTTGACATAAATCGTCAGACAAAATATTTTCTTCATCGTAGAAATTTGATAAACGAACAATTTCAAATTTTGGCTCAAATGGTCGATACAAAATTTAAATTTCCTCACAGTCAGTAATAATCTGTAGTAATTTGTATTAGTGCCTAATACCGAATATGACTAATTCGCATGATTAAAATCGTTTCCCCCTAGAAAAATTGCAGTTATTCAAACTGTAAATAATATCATTAAAAAAGTATAAACCATTCATTAATAACTGCCAAAAAGGACAATTGTGAAATACCGAACCACAGTTGACTTATTTAATGTATTCATTAATTTTACGAATTCCTATTTCAGGCCTATCAACTGTTGCAGTCTTACCGCCGCCCAATCGCTCGCCATAACTAATGGTTCGGGCATTATTAACAATTTATAATTGTTGTTACAAAACCAAGAACTTTATTCTGTTTTGTGTTATTGTTGTAGATTTGTATATTGATGTGACCATTGTTGTTGCTGTTGTTGTTATTGCAATTGTCATTGGATTTTTGTTGTGGTCACAGCTACTGTGTGGTTGAGTAGCTGTCGTTGTCAGTGTCACTGTCATCATCATCGTCGATGTTCCTCGCTCGTCGATTCGCCAACATCATTAATCATGGACGATATGCATTTAGAGCTTTGTTTGGGGCGTTGTGGCTTATTGGTTGTTTGCTGTCATTGTTAGTCGGAAGTATGATGGCTGCTAACTCGTAAGTAAAGCTAATCAATTGATTTGATTTATTGACAAAATAATTAAAGTTTAATTGTTTAGAGAATTTCGGAGGCGGTTATGATGTTGTAGCTGTCGCTTAGTAGGGCTGTGATTTATTTCCTATGAATAATTTATGGATTAGTTTAAAATAAATTAGTGATTGTGGTATTTTGAAAAATGCGGATGAATGGAATTAGCTTTAATAAAGAGGATTATATAGTAAAAAACCGCAAGAAGATGCAAACATCGGGCAGGGTACTGAGGAATTTGTTTCTAAAAAAATACTCCTCAGGGTACTGATGATTTTTTTTCTATAGAAAAAAGACTATTCAGGGTACTGAGAAATTTTTTTCTATTGAAAAATGACTCCTCAGTGTACTGAGGAATTTTTTTCTATAGAAAAAAGACTCCTCACAGTACTGATGAATTTTTTTCTATAGAAAAAACTCCTCACGCTACTGATGACTTTTTTTCTATAGAAAAAAGCCTCGTCAGGGTACTGAGGTATTTTTTTCTTTAGAAAAAAGGCTCCTCAGGGTACTGAGGAATTTTTTTCTATAGAAAAAAGATTCCTCAGGGTACTGAGGAAAAGTAAAAAAGTCTCTAGTAAAAAAGTCTCCCCAGTTTATTGAGGAATTTTTTTCTATAGAAAAGAGACTCCTCAGGGTACTGAGGATTTTTTTTCCTTTCATTCAAACAAGCTTGCAAAACCTAACTAACTTTTAACTACAGTTTTGATTTATAATTAGCATTGAAAATGACCATTTTCGCATAAATTCCAAACACCTTCCAGTGACACTGTGTTTTTTTCTTGCCATAAATATTCGCACAAGAAAAAATATGATAATTTGTTTTATGTATTTTTTGTTTACATTTTTTGTAAAGTGTGTGTCTTTTTAATATTTGTTTTTTCTTGCATGTGCAAACCATGTCCACACGTTTACAACTTCGTTTGTCCGTCTGCCGCCATAACAAAAACCAGTTCGTTCGTCGCGCTGCATGTGACATGTCGCGTGTTTATAACGCGCATTAGTTCTCATTATTAATATGCCAGGCAAAGTGAGTGAATGACATGCGACACACAGTACCAGTACCATTTAGCTGGACGGGGTCCGTCGTCCACTACAATCGTCGCTTACAATCAAGTCCATGCCATAACGTCACAAGTTTGCTCTGTCAGTCCAGTCGACTGAGAAGGGATATGGGTAAGCATGTCGTTGATGTTGTTGCCGGTGTTTTTTAGATAAAATTATATTGCGTACATTGTTGTTGTTTTTGTTTTTGCTCCTGCTGTCGTTTGATTTTAATGCAATAGTGCGTGTAGACGGATTTAAATTTATTACATTTTATGTTTTGCTGTTGTTTGTTAAGTTGTTATGAGTGTTCGTTTGTATGTCCATTATTTTTCTGCTGATGGTAATTATTGTTATAATTTTTCATTCCAACCATCAGAGGTTCTCAAACTTTTCACAAAAGATCTTTATAGGTGCTGGAAATGGAATAAAGGAGATCTTGTATATAACTTTATGTGAAACATGGCCGCAGCCAGGGTGGGCTGAGCCAAAATTCATAATATAGGTCCATGACGCATTCCTCATATAATATTCCGCCTCATTTCCTGGTTGTTTAAGGTTTTACATTCTGGGCTTTTGAAGGGCCCACAACATATTTACAGAAAATACTTGTCATCGCTCTCATTTAAGGATCCCGCCACATTTTTATATTTTGAAGGTTTTAGTGGCATTTATGAAACCAAAAGGGCTGTAAATTGGTTTTCCGGATTTTTGGAAGCTGACAGACATCAATGTCGGAAATTATAATTATGGGACAACCAATACTACCAATAATATTTTAAAGGATTACATCACATTTTCCAAACGAAAAGACAGCAAATTACCATTCCGGAAGCTTGCAAACTAAAAAAGTCTTTGCAGAAAATTTTCGAAGTAGGCCAATGATTTGACATAGCCATCATATAAAGGTCCCGTCCTATTTTTTGGAATTTTTAAGGTTTGAAATCATGGTTGGTAAGAAATGTAGTTGCAGAAGATTTTCGATATAGGAGCAAGTTTTGGTATAGTCTCCGTCTAAGAATATAGTCCCACTTTCGGAATATCTAAGATCTTGGTTACAATTTTTCACCGAAGTCGCCGTAATTGGACATTCCGGTTTCTTCAGTCTGTATGGTAAAAAATATATCTGCAA